TCTTATTCAAGGCCTCCTCTCTTTGTACGATTTGAGAGTTCAATTTTTCAACCTCTCTGGCCAACTTTAATGCAAGCTCTGCGTCGCTCAAGCTGTTATTGCCGCTGGTGCATGAAATCGAGAATCGAAGCCTCGACGATGTGTTAATGAGCTGGGGCCTCGAGGAAGAATACGAGAGGAATGGATTGGTTTGGAGTTTTGGGAATTGTTGAAGGGGTCTTGGGGCGAAAAGATTAACTCTGAAGGACATTGAGAAAAATTTGTGGGTTTAGATCTCTAATACTGAGAGTTGGAGGCTTGATTTGATCTTCGTTGGTATGTTATGAAATTTCTGTGAGATTCTTGATTTGAGTCGGTGTCAGGCGGTTCACCTTCGGTTCCTTCCGGCAGATAGAGCAATTTTGTCAATTAGCCTCCTGCTCGCAAGCTTTCATACGAATTCATACTCTTGGTCAATTCTGCGAACCGACTCTTATAGTTTTGGGCCTCTTGGGCTTTCACCTCCCCGCCCAGCATGTCGATTGAGGACGGCATTTTAGAAAATGATGTCATTTCTTTTTTGAGCAAATTTTGCGAGGCTTTATTCGGTAATGCATGAATAATGTTGCAGTAGTTAACATCAAGCCAAATAATAATTTTCAATCCAATGGAGCTGATAGGTAGGCCTCCTAAACCTCGTAACGTGCACATCAGATTTTCAGCGAATGCAATAAAACAAATGCTATACAGTGCTCTTTAACTCGGCCGCATCAAGAACCACTTGTGCAGAGGTGCCCTCGGCCGAATCAGATTTGCTTTCAGGATGCCTCGACGATTATTGCATGTACGATGTATCATGGGATTTCAAAGTACTGACAGACAAAGGGCAAGATGTATTAACTAGAACCCAGATAAAGAATAAATGAATCATGAACAACAATAAATTAGTTATGTGTTGTGGATGATACAGATCAATCCAATCTAAGTTTCATCTCAGCTGTCAACCTATGTAGCTTTTGCTTGTTCACCATCTCTATTTGCATCTCCAGCAGCCTCATCCCCAGGAAGGGGATAAAGAAGGGAACTGGAAAATATTTCACATGACAATGTGCTCAAGGTAAGTCTGGTTACATTCCCTATCCCCACCCATAAATGAAAGCAAAACGGGGTGAAGAATAATAGTTCTTATATTGTTCCTTCAGACTCCATAGCTGCTGCATGATGGTGCTCTGCAGAATCCTCAACAATCTGAAGTTACAAATCTAACTGCCAAATCGCATTTCACCACAGTTATGCATCTGGAGCAGCAGCTGCAGAAACTTCAGAAGCAATTACCCACTTCCCAGGTGATAATGGATCAGCTGTGACAAGATATCAACCCATGTGTCAGGAACACCTGGAAGGCACCAGTGCATGCAGTCCTGACCCCATTCAGCCACCGCGTCCTTCTTTCCCAACCAAATTGCTGGATGGGCATCTGATCTGTACTCGCTCATATGAGTCAGATCAAGTATTTCGATATCTGTGCCTTTCAATGCCTCCTGGATAAGATGATTAAGCAGTCTGGCTTCTTTGTTTACACCATTGTTGCCGGGGTCGAACCACAAGTCAAGCTGTTCAGGTATCAGGAGGAAACTGTTCTTAGCTATATTATAGCAAAAGACTGCTGCTGAAGATAATTTCCTCTATTGAAATCTTCCTCTTCCTATTTGCAGTAACAGTCCTTGAAAGAGAAGAACGCTTCAAAAGGACACAAACTACAGAATATCTCTAAATGCTTGAAAATAGTAACCTAGGCTTTTAAAGACAAAAACTTTGAAACAATTTAATCTTATTTTGACATATTTTCAAAAGAAAACTGAAATGTCCAGGCAAGGAAGAGTAGAAGACCAAAACAATAAAAGGTAACAAGCTGGTAGCATGCACGATTTCATACCTGAGGTTCTTCGAGAGGCTCATCAAACACGCAACTACCATTTTGATTCCATTCACCACCATGAAAATGTCTTGGTGATTGCAACCGCCAAAACTTCAGTGTCTTTTCAGGGAATTTTTCCCATATGTGAGCAACCATAGATTTAAGAACAACTTTAAGTCCATCCAACATTTCCAAGGGAGGATGTATTGGTTTCCCAGCCTTATAAAATACAAGTGGAGTCTCTCTAGGAAACTTATCGTAGCCCCACCTGGAGAAGATAACCCATCAGAACAAAAACCAAACACTTCTACCCCACAGAATCTATTATTGCAATATCTGTTCCTAGATTTCCATAAACAGAAAAGGATCAGCCAAGCTTCAAATGTTACAATCATATATCTCCAAGTTGAATTGAAAATCATCATATCGCACCAACAAAAGAAGCACACTACTGACTGCCCAAACAGCACCGAAGGATTGATGTAACAAATATTCAGGACAAGGCAGAATTACTGCATCATATTAATGATGATGTATGAACTTAAATTCCAGCCTGTAATATATGTTTTTTCGTCTTGCAAGGATATTTCTATTCACAAGGCTAAACTGGTTGAGAATTCATATCAGGATTGATAGGTAATACAAAAACTTGGCTATTCTATTAACTTTGAGGGAAAAAAGAACGTAGAATTACCAATGACCAGTATTGAATACTAAAACATCATAGAAATCAGCAATGTTGGCCCATTCATCTGCTGGAATATCAACATCCACCCGATATGTTCCTTTTACTCCATCTCCATCAGAAAGCACAGAATCTTTTGGCTGCCACCTTTTTTTAATCAGTAAGAGCAAGTAAGCTTGCCATTTCCAAAGTAGATGAACAAAATCTCAATGAATAACAGATGAAAGCTGTAAGTCATTTCAGATAGAAAAAAGGGGTCTGTCAATCTTGATGAATTTTCAAGATCAAACCCAACTTTTGTCACAGTATTACATGATTTGACAACTGGAAGCATGAATGTGATGAATTTATACATTCAAGTTTTTTGTTCAAAACAAAAAATCAATCATCGCAGGACGAAAATCAAGAAGCTGCCATGAGTCAATCAGCTTTTTTGTCGAGTCAAAAACTAGCAGTTGTCCTATACTCCTATTTATTACCACCAAATGGCAAACATCTAATTGATGTCAGAAATATTCCTCTACTTGCTAAAACAATTACATATAGGTGACCACTGAACAAAATCATGTAGCTGTAATACATATTTATGATCAAGATCAAACTTTGTCAGTAATATGTGAATACTGCTGCAGGCGCAAGAGTGTTCCCGCTGGTTAATTAGTGACATATTGCAATGTAGATTGTAGTTTCCAAACACTAAATGCATCACAAGATGGATTATAAGACCAATGCATTTTTTCCAATTTAAGAAAAGAAGAGTAAAGTAACAACTTCAAAGATGCCGTTCCATTTAGCCATCTATACTGAAAAAAGGTAATAAAATAACCAAAAGTTATTAATACAATCGGGAAAAATAACTAAAAAATGATGTAGAACATTTATGGTTTTGGATCAGATTATTTTCGACAAGCAGCTGCTTAAGTTGCTCTACTTCCTCTTTTTCTTTCCCGTCACCTCTAGCTTAGAAAAGCAGAATAGGAAACAAGATGAAACACAAAATCATCCATACCCATATGCTTGCAAACATATCTTCTTGGTAATGCTTCATCCTTTTTCCCCACAGCAGATTCTTGAGATGCATATAAAGGCCAATCAAACATTTCAAGTTTATTTTTTTGATTATACATATCAAGTTCGTTTCCAGTGAAAGTTGACATCTTTGTCAAAATTAATGAGACAAGGACTAAATCTAAGCAGAATTCAACTTCAAGATAACCAAATAAATGTACTGAAAAATTGAAAACGAAAAGAAAAGGCAACAAATTCAGTATACTCACTGGTATTTGGCCAGCAAAACAGCACGATGATAAGCAACAGTAACATTGAACTTAGGAAAATAAGCTCCTCTCCAAGCCCCTTTCCTCTTCCACTTCTTAGCACCCTCGTCAGCCACTCTCCAAATACACAATAACGAAACCAAAAAATTCTCGTTCAACGAATCCCCGACAAGCCCAATGTTCTTATTTCTCATCATACCCAAGAACTTCTCCGGGTCAACCCGGTTCAAAACACAGTCTTGGGGCTCCCATCTCCAAGAATTGATCCGACCCATGTGAGCCCTTTGGTTTCTGAGGCAGTTCCAGGCGTTTCTGTGAAAAGGGCAGGTCTCATCATACATGGGCTTGCGACTTGGGTCGGTTACCCACTTGCCTTCGAAGATGTTGCATGGGTTTGGGTCCGGGTGTGGGGTTGAAATTGCAATCTGGGATTTGTTTGCGGGTCCAGAGGGAGTATAGAGGAGGGTAGTGGAATAGACGAAAAGGAGGACGAAGGCTGGTAAGATTAGCCGGGTAAAGAACCTGGAATTCAACTTAGATGCCATTGCAAATCATCCTGCAGCACGAGGAGATTGCAGGCGACTCTGGACTGGAGGAGAAAACAAATTGAACCAAAGCGACGCCGTTCGTTAAGGTCGTTCCAAGTTACGGGGAGAGTTCGGAAAGTTGGGTGTGGGGGGAAAGTTTGAAAAGTGGAAAGAATTTTAGGGGGGTGAAGGTGCAAACGAATCCAGTTTGGCTCGGGTCAATATTTCAACCCGAACTCGTATTCAGTTTGAACTTATTTGGTCAAAATTCCAATTCTAACTTGTATGATTTTAAACTCTGAGTTCGACTTCGTGCAATCCAACTCATGCTTTACGAGTCAATTTGAATTCTAACATGTAAAGATTAGAAATTTGTCAGCTCAATCAAATTCAATCGAATTTTTCACGCACACACACGTGTATGTATGTATGTATATATATATATATATATGTTCTTTTCTATTTATTAGTATAAAATGTCCTTTTATTCTTATTTAAAATTATATAAAATATGAATTTATATTTTTTAAATTCAATTATATTCTATTGAACTCAAATTAAGCTGGATTTGGACGAGCTTCAGTCACTCCTGGAGCTGAATTGGATTTGATTACACGCTTTTCATGTGAAATTGACCAATGGGCGTATAAAAAAGGCCAGCCAGTCGTTTTCATTCACTGCATTCAGATGTAAATCTGGAGCGATGAATAGTATAATTCTTCCGATAATTTAGATTCTTCTATCACTTGTCACTTCCTCCATTTTTTTTAATTAATTTTTAATAACAAGTGATACTTATTGTACTACTTGTTATAAAGGAGGGGGACTCTATGACTGTAGCCGCCAGCGCCACCAGTATCTGTATCACTAATAATAAGGCCACCACCATTGCAATCGGTGGCGTTGGCGAAGACTCAAGATTGGTGTCTTCATCCCTCTCAGCCTCTTCTGCTTCATTTTCATCGTCGTCAACTTCATCGTTTCGATTCGGATTATCATCATCGATTCCCTCTACACCGCTCCTAACAATTCCAACTTGTGCAGCTTCCCGATTGCATCTGCTCCGCCTCCCTCCTCCTCGTCGATGCTGTAAGTCCAAAAAGCTCAACCTTTTTCTTCTTCCCAATCTGCTCGCTGCATTTTGTTTTTTTTTAAAAAAAAAATTTAAATATAAATTGGAATGTTACTGTTCTTTTTGCTCATTTCAGATTCATTTTAGATGAAAAACGCTTAGCTTTTGATATTTTGTCGACATTCTATATACCAGATGTTTTTCCTTTCTGTTTTCTTCTTTTGGCTTTTCACTCTTCTTTAAGTGAGTAGAGTTGATTTTTGTCATCCCAAAACATAATTTGTATGCAGGATTAGAGACTTTAGAGGCGAGGTAGCTGAGCTGTGTATTTGAGGGGCCAACCTCATATTTTTGCCGAACTTTTTTTTCTTTTCTTTTCTTTTTTTATTTTTTGGTTTCGTGATCTGGCTTTATAAGGATTGAAATTATCATTTAAAAATTTTAAGAATATAGTGCAATTTAAAAATTCTTGGGGAGTAAAAGACAGAAAAATGTTTGTTGCCCATGTAGACTGCATGTGGTTGTCTGGCAGTTACACGGAGCTTCCATTTCCAAAATGCTCAACAGCTGTTCTTTAATTTTGAATTGGTAAGAGTATACCAAGCAGTTCTTTTCCCTGCTTTGAAATTTGGTCAATCATCACCAAAAACAATTGGTCTTGACGTCCCAGTGTTGGAGCTCTATTGTTCACATGTATCTGTGTTTGTGCCTGCACAATGTTGCCAAGAGTTTTTATGCCATATAGCATTTTTGGGAGCTACTTTCTGAGTTTTTATTTTATGAATGGATCTTTTTTTGTTTCTTACAGTTGCTAGCATGGACAGTGGTGAATTTCCAAGTCTGTATCCATTGCACCGGTGCAAAACTATTTACCTGGTTGGTATATTCAAATTTTCTAGATATTCAGTATCATGCTCTGAGTATTCCAATTTACTCCCTCTTTTAAGTTTGAAGGATACTTAAGATTGTCCTTTCTCTTGGCTTTTGCACACAATTTAATGGTCTCTGTGGTCTTATTAAACTATAACTTAGGTGAGGCATGCTCAAGGAATTCATAATGTGGAAGGAGATAAGAACTATAAAGCATATATGTCTCCAGAATATTTCGACGCATACCTTACTCCACTGGGCTGGCAACAGGTTGGGAACAGCTAACTTCCTGTGATACAAAGTTGAATCTCTTACCTTTATTTTGTTTTTCAGTCTAGAACAAAGTCCTTAACGGTGACTATAGGGTATGACAATCTTTAGCTCTTGTATCAGGTTGATAATTTGCGCAAGCATGTACATACAAGCGGGCTTTTGAATAGGATTGAATTAGTTGTCACATCTCCATTGCTAAGGTACCAATTCTCTAACTTTTCATGTATTAACTACCATAAGCTATCATTTTTGGAAAGAATGACTCCTCAAACTCTAGCAATTCTGGCATTTTTGCAATCAATGTTGGGTTTGCCTATCCAATTGCTTAAACATACATATTTTCATTTCTTGAACTACCTAAACTGAATTTCTTGAATGAAGAAAGAAACTCCAGCAGAATTAGGCTGCAGCTAGCCTCAAAACCTAATAGTACCTCTAAATTATAGATCAATGACTGTTTCTTTAGTCTTTTTTTTTTTTGAGTGGTCTGTCAATGCCATTCCCATATGGTTGAGTATGCCATTTTCAAGTGCAACGGGATGACGTTTTATAGGCTAATTGCTGTCAATACCTGCTGTCCCCTGATTCAAGGAGACTAAAGTTAACCATGATAGATTGACTGAATAGTTGCTACACAAGCTCTTACCTGATATGAAAAGGCATGCCTTGGCGCCTTGACTGTATGCTTTTGGTTATGATGATTTATCCTGACACTACAGAACTATGCAAACTGCTGTTGGGGTATTTGGTGGTGATGGCTATACAGACAGGATGGATACCCTGCCACTCATGTTGGCAAATGCAGGAAATAGTCGGCGTGCTGCAATTTCAAGTCTTAATTGTCCTCCTATTGTTGCATTAGAACTTTGTCGAGAACATTTGGTAGGTCCTTTGAAGGTTATGTGTGCAACTTTTGATTTTAAATGTGAACATTCTTGTGGTTGTGGATAGCATTCTGATTTTCTTGGTTCAAGTCTGGGGTAGAAAGGAAGCTTTGATTTAATTACTAAGTTCAAATGCTTTATTTTTTCTGGTGCTGTTGAGGCAAGAGAAATTACTTAGGGCAGAAAGTCAAAGCTCTGCTGGACTGAACAGTGAAATGTTATATAAGCATAATTGACTAATTATTTAATTAAGTTTTCATAACATTGTTACAAATATGAGTTTAACAATTTTCTTTTTCTGCAATTTGACAATTTCCAGAGCATTTATCTGTTATCCTTATTCTGAAATGCTTGTAATAGAGTTGAATGTACTATCTGACAAATTGATCATCAAATTTTAAGTTTCTTGTTCTGTTTGTGTCATGCTGATCTAGTTAGATTATTTCATGGTACATCTTTTGAGCCAGTTTTCTTTCTCAATCTTGCTTTGTTTGCGAATAATAAGTCTTTCATTTCCTAGACCTTTATCTTTTTTTGGATTTTTAGTGGTATGCATGTGCTTACGTCTACATGATTGTATGCTTAATTAGGCTTCTTAACATGGTTTAGAAATTATGTATACAGTTTCCCTTCTTGTTGGATTGAGATATATAATATTTAAAGTATGCAAAGTGTTCAGCTGTCTTTGAAGTTTAATTCTGCCAAGTATATTATGTACATTAAGTGACCCTAACATTTGAATTTTTGTTGACCTGAATAAATATTTTCAAAAGTCAAGGGAATTTTTTGGAACTCTTAAATATTTCTTATAGAACTCAAATATCACAACTACTTCCACTTAAATCCAGTGAATTTCCATTTTCCTTTTTTTCTTTTTTATGAGAGACTAGAGGGTATGTGGTAGAGGAGAATATGTTACTCCAGATTCAGATTTTATTTGCATAACTTCTATGTTCATATAAAAGCCTGAATCTTTTTCATTCAATAATCTGGTTGCAGGGTGTTCATCCATGTGATAAGAGGAGAAGCATCAGTGAGTATCAGTGCCTTTTTCCTGCAATAGATTTTTCACTGGCAAGTGTTTCAAATCTCTGCTACCAGTCATTTAGGGTGATATAATGCTATCATTGATCATGGACCAGATATTTCAAACAGATTTTTCCTTGCATATGATTGGATCTTGAATCTTGATTTATGTTTAGATAGCAAGCGATGAGGATACTTTGTGGAAGGCAAATGTCAGGGAGACAAAAGAAGAAGTTGCAGCTAGAGGAATGAACTTCATGAAATGGTAAACTACTTTATTATTCTTGCATTAGAAGTTGAACTTTAATTGCGACCAGAAGCTTGTGTTCAGGTGCACATAGGCTTACACTTATCATCTGTAGAAATAGATTGTAGTAGTTTCAGTCTTGAGTAAGTAACCTGTGCTCAGGAGTACTTTAATAAAGTTTTTGATTTTTGGCCATCTTGGTCCTTACTGCTTGGTGACAAACACATATGATAGAATGGGGCTTAGTCACAAGGTTCACTGGGAGTTAGGCTTGGACTAGGGATGCAAAGCATGGCCTCTCTCTCTCTCTCTCACAATCATTGTTAATTCAAGGGAAGATTAAATGCTCATATATGCATATTTATGAGTCTTTATACAATATAGCTGCATATCTGTGAGTCGTTATACCATATATAGATATAAGTAGCTATATTTATGTCATACTGTTTGTTAGATATGTATTTAGATTGGTGATGCATAAAAACATGTGAGAAAGGTTCGACCCATCTACACATGAATCATTTAGGAAGAATCTTGTGAAGGAGGTTGATTCTTTTCTGTTTTACCTTCTCTAGAACACTTTTCTGAAAAACATATATCATGGATGCAGGTTACTGTCACGAAAAGAGAAAGAGATAGCTGTTGTTACCCACAGTGGATTCTTGTTTCATACACTATCCGCATTTGGTAATGACTGTCACTGTTCAGTGAAGAAAGAAATTGCTCAGCAGTAAGTTCTCATAGGATTAGTATCTATCTACAAAAATTTTAAACTCCATTTGGATGATGTGCTAAACTATTTCGTGCTTTAGATGGCTAAATACCTACCTTGTTAGCAAATCATTGACTATTAAAGGTGAACTGGAAACTTAAATTTGGGAAGGAGGGTATTTAAAAGGCAAGTCACTCTCATAAAATCTTGTCAAAAGATTCGCCCAGCATTTCTACATTCAGATCAGGCCAGGAGTAACATCTTAAGGGAGGGGAAAAGCTGCTTTATAAGGAAAGAAAATTAGTCAACAGAATGACTACTTTTTCTTGAAATTCATTGTTTCTATCAAGACGTTCTATGAAAGAAATGATTACTTTCTCCATGTTTTGCAGTTTTGCTAATTGTGAGCTTCGCTCAATGGTCCTTGTGGATAAAAGGTAGTAGATTGTTTTGTTTTCCACGGCCATTTGAGTATATTTACTCGTTTGCCTACAACGTGTCTGACTTTTTCCAATTTCCAGCATGATAGGGTCAGACAGTTCACCAATAAATTATCCCGGTAAAATTCCTTCTGGGCTGGATTTGCCCAGCGATTTAGCAGACGAGAAGAATCTGGAAAATGGGAAGACCTAACGAAAGACATTCCAACCGGGTCTTTGAAGGTAATCATAATCCTGTTCTTGTGGTAGCTTCACTTTTGACTTGGTTTCAAACAAAAGTTGACAACTTTATCATTTTCTGCACCTCTCTAAGGAAATTTATGATTTTTTTTTATAAGGTTTGATCATGTCTAATGCACAAACAAGATGTACCTTTATTCACTTCCTAGTTGATTTAAACTGCAAGCCATGATCCAAAAACAAGCTGCATGTTGTTGATTACTTGAGTCTTGACAGCTGTCAATTTCCCTTTGGTTTTTGTTTGGGTGTTTTTGTTTCTTGAGGAGAGAGATTCTTTGTGCAAAAGCAGACCATTTCTGCTCTAATTACTAGTTATTAGATTGCAATTTCTTAAAGCATATTAGACTGCATGTATGCAAAAATATAATTAATTTCTCTCGGCCAGTATCTGCTTCGTAAATGATGGAAGAACCACATACTCAGATCAACCCATTGAAGCATGGGATTGCTGCTGCTATATGCCTGTGTACCTTGGCTGCAATCTCATGACTTAAAAAGCAGCTGAACTTTTCGTGGAGATGATGACTTTCTAGATGCAAGGAGCAATACTGTTTTGCATCGTCTGTAATTTGTTTGGTTATGTATATGTAAGCCATCTAAATTTCTATCTCTTGGGAGATTACTGCGAATCCACCGTAAAATCTGATCATATTTTTCTGTCTCTTGGAGCTAAGAGGGTTTTATTTATCGCTTTTCTCTTGAGCAATGCTTTCCGCCTTGATTTAAGATTCCAACAGTTCCTTTGCTGATTGTTTGTTATTTTTTCGGCTTAAGCTTTTACCTTTGTGATTAGAGGTGGGCAAGCGATCCAGAACCGAAAATACTATTCTTCACTGACCTGCCGTGGTACGCATGTCCTTTCCAATTCTTGGAAAGTTTGCTTGCCTTTCGCCCAAAAAATTTTTCGCAAGACAGCTTACTTTTGGGCTAAAAATTTGTACGGCCCCTAATGTTAGCGTTAGTGTAGGGGCCAACTTGGCGGCGGGCCAGGCCAGGCTTCACATTTATCTAGCTGAGCAAATCGTTTTGCAGTGATGAATGGGCCAATTAACAACGTAGATTTGAGCTTTCAATGGTCTTTAATGGATGTTTTCGAATAGCAAGACAAATGATGAGCGTTTTCATGGTTCGTTCACTTGTACAGGTGTTCTAACCAAGAGCAAAGACAAAAGTATATTTTTAAAGATATTTTTTTTTTCAAAAGTATTACACCACCCATGCAGGGGGGTTACATTTAGTATCATATTGTGATTAAAGTAAAATGTTCAATTTCCACCAGCCATACAATTAAAATTTTGTGGAGATGGTAACACCCTGGTTGAATTAGGCATTTCTGTTTTCACTCAAACTATAATTCAAGACAGTTTAGAGGCCATGTAAATCTTTCCTTGTTGAAGCAAATGGACTGTCCTCTTTATTACCGTGTTCCCATGCTAAAGAAATGGAAACTCAAGAACAAAAATTACGAAAGAGACAAGGTGCGCTTTGCAATTGCAAGGAAACAGAAGAGACACGGCCAGATGCAGATTGCTCAACATTTTGTTTCTTCCCAAAGTTTATGTCACTCAGATTCATTATTTTGCAACGCCACTGCATTTCAAACTATTGAACCGCTCAAGCATGCAACTAGTTTTGCCAGACTCTGTCAGGCTGATATTCTTCCTGGCACCTCACAGACTGCACCAGTGACCAACCAAATATAAGGCCTTCATTTTTTAGCTAGTTCCCTTTTAACAAGTCAAAGAACTGCACTGGTTTCTTCTTTGGCTCAGGACAAATCTCCTGAAAATGCAGATAAAACAAGCCGGTTCAGTCTTTTGAAGATATACAGACAGTCATGCTCCACACAACAAAAATTGTTAAATGTAGATACAAAATCTAATTCTTGTATGTGAACTAAACCAATACCTCTATGGCAGCAGCTAGACGTAAAATAGAAGCTTCACCCCACGGACGACCTAAAAGCTGTAGACCTATTGGGAGTCCGTGCTTATCATAACCAACCTGACATACAGCATTTTGTCACACAATAATCAAACGTGAGAAAGCCGGGTTCTCATAGTAGACCCATCAAATTCCAAAAGTATTATTTTGTGGGCACTGGAAGTGAAAGGATCAGTTCAATTGTGAAGTAGTTGAAAACAGAGATTTCCAATAGTTAGTGAAGTCACTATATTAGTATGTGCAACAGGTTCGTTCATCATGGCCTGTATAAAAAGAGAACCAAACATCGCACAGATTCTAACCACTTGCAGAATATATTTAATGAACTTTATCACATAGTCGGAGATTACGGACGCTGTAGAGTAGAATCTTGCAACACTAGTGAGATTTAGATTCACTTTGCTGGGGAGGCTAGAAAAATGTCATAATACCTACTACAGATATATTTGACAAAACAAGTCTCCATAATACCTACTACGAGGTGCAAAGACCAAAGGCGATCCAAAAAGCCCAGGACGCTAGTCAGTCTAGGGGGTGACTGGAAAAAATAGACGTTCCACTATTTTGAACTAGCTATGGAAGAGATATAGAAGGCCAAGATGCTTGGACCAAGGAAATAGTGTCTAAGGGTAAACACAGTATAACTGCAGAAGTATGAAGGAAAATACTTTAATGAACCACAAAAGATCCAACGTCAAGAGATCGTACACTTCATATAACCTGGAGTCTATCTTCAATGTGAACTCAAACCTAATGTTTGGTTAGGCTTACCTACTTTGCATGACGAAGAGAATAAGCTTTCTACGCGTCAGGGGGCATAAGTGCTTTTTTCACAACGAGGTTGAACAACCTTTAGGAAAAATATTATGCTCGAGCATAGACAATGCCCAAAAAACAAAGCACAAAAGAAATCTGGGAACAGGGGAATCATTTATTAAAGGCAGGACATGTTGAGTCACTCTGGTGTTCTTGCCATCTAAAACAAAGCAAAGCAACTAAGAGACACTTACAGGGACAGAAATTGCAGGCAATCCAAGAAGATTTGCCGGCACAACAAAGCGCATGAGATTTCCTGAAAAAGAAGAAGCATTAATATGGTCATACTGGAGCCTTGAAGCAAATTAATGTTCTAGTAATAACATTCTTAACTGAAAGTAATTAGTTTGCACAGCTAAAATGATTTTACATAACTTGAAGCATCCTAGTTAAGTGCAAACACTTGCAAGATCTCTTGACATAAGATATTACAAATTAGTAGTAGTTTGCATGATGATAAAACAAACCAACCAACCTGAGACTTGAAGATCTGTTTCTCCAGATTTAAGGGCAGCTGGTGGTATGATAGGTGCTGTCATGCTGAAAAGGGGAATTTTCATATGCCAGTAAGAGTTTGCTCGAAAGAGGCCGCTTTGTCACAGTAAAGAAATAAACAAAAATGTTCAAGAAAGGGCTTTTCTGGCTGATTGTTACATGAGTGACAAGTGAAAACCAGGAGAAGAGGAAGAAGAGCCACGAGTGATGATCGAATGAATGACGGATACAATAGGCAGGAGATTAGCCAAAGAGTCAAAAACATATTTTGGAATCATATCATAAAGAACCATAGAGTAGAACTCGCACATACCCTGTTGTAGGGGTAACAATGACATCCACCTTCTTGAAAATTTCCATATGGTAGTGCATTATCCTTCTTCTGTATGGCAATATATAAGATGAGATTCAAACCTATGCTGAATTCATAGTAAAATAGCATTTTATAGTGAGTGTCAGTAATCTAACACTTGCATTTCCTGGAGAGTATCGAACCTTTAAGATATCATAATGCTAACTGCCTTTTCCTAATTAACAGTAAATTATGGAAGCAAAGTTCTAGAAGAAACAATGGGTGACTATTAGTAAGATGGTTGAGATACCAAGTCTCAGTTTTTCAAAATCATGCACACTTAAGCAGAAGAAAACTTTACCTGGATGACATAACAACACGAATAATTTATTTAACCAAAAAAAAAAAACCTTGATCCTCAAGACAATAGTCTGGAATAACAAACACATTAGTTTGACAAGTAGGTTGCAACCTTTACCAGTCTAAGTTTGTCATTTTCCCTGAAACAAACTGCAGTTGTAAAATCAAATTTTTGAATATTTCCAGAGGTCCGTGCATGGGTGTGAGAGTGAATGTGGTTATAAAAATAGCTGTAAAGGGAAAAAAAAAACAACATATCAAATCGGACATAAGCGTAATTAATTATGTGGCCCAGAAAGTACTTGCATGATATTGATTTAATCACAAAACACTACAGATCATAATAATATGCCTTACCTTAAACACTGGGCAGCAACATAATCTGATGCAGTGAATGTTCTAAAAAGTGCCAGATTTGTGCGAGTGTCAAGTGAAAAGTATTTCCCTTTCCTACACAACAAGAGGTAGCAACATTAAATGTTTTCAAACCATCAAACACTTGAGAAAAATTACAAAGTTAGCAAACTCAAAGTCCTCAAGTAGAGCACACACAAATGGAATCATACGATCCAAAAGTTAAGCTTCATACCCATCCTCAAAATCAGGAGTCAAAGAGGAAAGCGATTCAGAACCAATGGAAAGAATATGAGCTGTGCGCATCTCATGCAGCTCTGGAATAGCAATCTCCACCATCTAAATGACAGAAGGTCTAAAAGATTAGAAGCATAAAGCATATTGTTTATGCACATATCAGGAAACAACTTCTCACTCTGATTTGATGCACTTAATGGTTCAATAACAGCATGTGCACAAAGCAACTGACTTACGTTGCACCCATGTTTTTCTGATAGCAAATTAAGGATTTCCTCGCACTTGATGGAGATATCAGTTGAGAAAACGTCATTGAACCACTGCAGAAGGAAGCTACATACCAGTAATGGTAATTGAGAGTGACTAAATTACTAATTTTCTGATGAAAATGAGAGAAGAAATACCTCTGTGTACTTCCCCAACCGCAATGATCCTACAGCATTCAACCCCTCATGTGAACACAAATATGGCAAACAAGGAAGAGACTGCAAAAGGATCAGAAAATGAAGAAGATAACTAGTACTGTAGAATAAAAAACAACACTTCTGTAACTTGTAACAAGATCTTATCATGCTCCCTGACTTTAGATCAGTCAACAGCAAACTTGACACCAGCATAGGACACTTATTAGAGTAATTGCTGGTTCTAAACTATTCATTTGATGCACCATCAAATACAACTACTCATTACATCCACCTCTTCAACATTAACCAGCATGAAATTTCTAGTATGTAACCTAAACTTGACTTAACAGGGCATCAGCTTCTGGAAACTGTTTCTGAGTACTGTTATAAAATTAATAATCAGATATTCAATTAGCCAAAACTTCAACTTTTAGTCAAGTCTTTTGATTCCCTTCAGGTTTCAGCTAAATTCGTGTAACTAAAAACATGGGAAGAGAAGTGTGTTAAAAATCAGGCATCCTCAAAATCTCAAATGTTGGGAGAAAAAGGAGAACAATATTAAAGTTGCATCAATTGCAGAAAAGCAAAGATCAGTTTAATACCCTGTGTGTCCTTTTTTTCAGTGAATGACTATCTCAAGTTCATTTAGCATAAGATACCATTTAATCATTATTTATTATTGGAAGTAATGTGCTTCTGTGTATCCTTTTTTTCGGTGAATGACTATCTCAAGTTCATTTAGCATAAGATACCATTTAATCATTATTTATTATTGGAAGTAATGTGCTTCTGTAAATTGCGGAT